TCTTAACAAGAAAAGTTTTACCAATACCTGCCTTGCCAGTTACCACAATCATTTCCAGTGGATCTCCGACTCCCAAGAATTTCAGAACAATATCCAAATTTTTGTTGTCACAAACATAAATCATGGGTAACATATGTATAAGAAGTTCAATTTTCTCCAAGGTTATCGTGTGAACAGGGATTGGGGGGCGGCGTTGACCGGAAGCTACCTGCCGGAACTGTTCAATGAGGTCATCATCCGCAACAGGGTTGTCCTGGCCCTCATCACTTCCAGAATCGGCCACTGTCTTCCCTCTTAGGTTGAAAGCTTTCGAATTATCACCATTGCCGTGAAGGTTGTCCTGAACCTCATCTCCTCCAGGACCGGTCACCGTCATCTCTCCTCCTATGCTGATAGCTGCAGAATTATACCCATTGTCGTGGGCAGTGTTGCCATCATCCACTGTAGGAGCAGCTGAAACGTGATGCCCGGATAATCTTCTCCCATCCTCACTAATCTTCTTCAGGCTGTTCTGTAGTTGGCGGATGGCAGCCAAATGCTTCTTGAGACTTCTACAAAAGCGGATGTCAGTCCAATGCTTCTTAACACAGCTACAACTGCAGATGGTAGTCAAATGCTTCTTGATGCTGCAACAATTTGTGAATGTGAAGCGCAAACTCTCTGATACTATGCTGTTTCTGTATTGTATTGTCATGATCTGGTCGACTTCATCTTCAATGTCATAGAGAATGCGTTTTGCTTTCCTCGTCCACGGCTCTTCTTCTTGTTGCAAGCCGTCCTGGTCCGATCCTGCACTACTTTCATGATTATGAACATTGTCATAGCAACGTCCTCGACTTGCTTCTTCTTCCACGAACTGTCTTATCAGTTCTTGGACTTGACATTTGAGTGCCTCCAACGCCTTGTGGACGCACCCCTTGGTACGACTAGAATTGCTACCAAGATATTCATTCAGTTTCCGCAACAAAAGAGTGGCTGCACTAGCAGCCACTCCTATTACTACTACTTGCTGCTCTTCTTCTGGTTGTTCCATTTCTTCCTGACCAATATGTCAATGGCCGGTGAGGTACAAATCAAAACAACTCTCACTTCTCATTTTTCAACTCTTCACTTTTTGATGCGAGAATTCAATACTTAATGAGACAAGAATCCCGACTACTGCCTCGTTGTTCCTGGGCTATTTAGCAATCAAGCTCTCAGATTTTACTCTGCTAGTAGCTCGTAAACCAGTGCAGCACAAGGCAGTACAGAGGGTGTTAGCGTCTTGTTAATTGTAAGATCTGGATAACCAGAAAAGTTGAATGGACATAATTACAAGGTGTCCTGTCTGCTGTATTGATTATATCATGGTTGTGTTTATATTTTATTTACATGGACTGAGTGAAAAATCTTCTTATAGTAATAAAGTAAAAAAGTAAGCAAAGATGATGAAATGACTATGAAAATGAGACTTACCAATCTTTGTTGTGTGTAAGATAAGATGAGATATATGTAATAGTAATGTGAAAGGGTCTAGCTTAAAATTCTCGACTCTGTGATGGAAAAAAATATGTATGTACTCGTACACACTTTGTTCACGTCGGGGCTCGAACCCCTCTCTTTTTTTAAGATGGAGAGGTCATACGATTGGGCTTGAATCCCTTTGGCAGGAAGAAGATGTTTTTTTCACCGAAAACAAGTTCAACTTTAGTGCATCCCAAAAGTGAGTTGGTTGTTTATAGTTATTCTGTTAAGAAAATTTTGGAGAAATCTCAGAGAAGTTGAAGTGATACTGTGATAGTCCCTCAAAATATATAGAAACACCTTTCAATGATCAAATTATTTTTTCAGTTGGGAGGGAGAAATCGAACTTAAGATCAAGAGGGTGGGGGGCATTTTAGGCATGGTCCTTTTACCACTCGGGCAACACTATCACACCTCACTAGATTTGATTCACAACTGTGTTAACAAGAGCAATAAGACTTCAAAACAGAAAAACAAAAAATAAAAATAAAAAGGTTAAAAGAAAAATATAAGTGATTGCATTAAAATTTAAGAGTTGGGATCCTGTATATTCAACGGATCTTATTTGTTGCATGCTTGTGAATTGGGTTTCGTTAAAAACAGTACAACACTTATTTATATGTGAGTTGAGATTCATTGGATACAATGGAGTATAGAATCGATCTAGGACTATTTTTACACTAGAACATGTGAAATCATCATTACAAGATTGATGACAATGTGATTGTCACAAAGCAGACATGAAAAACGTGGGGAGACAAGACAAAATGAATCTTTGCTGATATAAAAAAGTGCCAATATGAGGAAATTTAAGGATTCTACTTCTAGAGTATGTTAAATTATTATAATTGTTACATTAGTCTAGTGCTTTAAGCCTCTAAATGAACATATTTGGTGATGAACATTTTGAGTTTGATTCAATATGTGTTGGTTGATCTTGTTTCGAGCTTGTTAAGTAAATAATTTGAACCTTGATAATACATGACTCAACTCACTAGACTCGCTAATAAATTTATGAATTATTTTAAACATAACTCATTATATTAGGTCTAAATTCTGTTTATAACCCATTTTTTCGTTAATCTTTTATACAGAGTATCAAATAGGAGTTTCAGCTCAAAATGGATCAATAAAATAGTTGAGTTTGAGTTTGGTGAGTAATGTAAAAGTTAAACTTGAACAAACCCTATCTAAGATCAATTAGACTCAAACTTAAATCTAAACAGGTGTATGCTTCTGGTTAAAAAAAAAAAAAAAAAAAAAAAAAAATGGGGAGTTAAGTTTATAGTGGGCCCTATTGGCCTGCATTATCTTGAACATGTTAGCCCAAAATCTTTGGCTAAAGATTCTCCTTTTGGAAGAACTTTAGGAAAAAATTATTGTCACAATTCTTCTAGCTTCTACTGAAAGAGATGTTTATGGTTATGATCAAAAACTGACAAAAAAACACATGTGAAACAAAGACTCGCGGCGATTGAATTTATCTATCAAATAAATGCATGCCAGCGTGTGTGTGTGTGTATATATATATATAAAGTTAATGTTTTGTTTATCGTTGTTTCCAAGAAAAGCTGAAAGAAATAGTGTATGGAAATGAGATCACACAATCCAAGATAAGGTGTCGAGAAAGAAAACAGCTTAAAAGTTTTCAAACTGTTTGATGCAAAATTGGTATATTTTATTCAAACATCAATTCTCGTTTTTTTTGGCTTGTTTGTGTAAATGCTTGTGAACCTCTTTTATGCAAATCTGTTGAAACGTCTTGCAAATCCGGATCGACTAAACAGCAACCATCTTTCTGAACCTGGTCCGGCACTCCCCGACGTTCACCCCACATGGTTTCATTTTAGCTCGTAAATCGTTGTCCAAATGGGAGTTTTTGGTGTTATTTCTTAATAAATTTGGAATCTATTCTTTATTTTCTTGTTTTGTTTTATAGTTTCTATGATTTTATCTGATTTGATTTATTTTTCTATACTGTTATTTTGATTTGACCTTTATGCCTTTCAAATGATATATTAAAAAAAAAAATAATTCAAACATCAATTTCATGTTGTTGCAATTTTAGGATGTGTTTAGATAAACAGGAGAGAAAAGAAAAAAAAAAGATAATATTAATTATGAAAAAAAATAAAAGAGAAATAATAGTAATAATTTTAATTCATGTTTGAATAGATAAAGAAAAAAATAATAGTAATAATTTTAATTCATGTTTAAATAGATAAAGAAAAAAAGAAAAGATAATTATTCTTATTTAGATAAGATAGAGGAGTGAAAAGAAAGGATAGTGACCAAATTACTATCCTATCCTTTCATAACCCGTTCACATATTATCCATTTCTAAAATCTAACATAGAATATTTGAAATGTTTCTTTGTGATAGTTCAATACAATAGGTAAAAACAAAAGTAAAAAATAAAAAATAAAAAAATAAAAATAATAGATGAAAACAAAATTAAGATATAAATGAAATAACTTTTTTTTTTTATATTAATTTATGGAGGGTATTTTTAGTATTAAGAATTTACAACTTACTATCCCTCCCTATCTCTCCTTAACTTCTCAAATTATGAAAGAAAACTTATAAGGCCCTATCCTTTATTTTCTCTCTAATTAAGTTATCCAAACACACTCTCACACTATCCTTTTTTTTCTTTTCTCTCCCTATCCCTCCAAATCAACCCGACCAAACACACTCTTAGAGATTATTATAATTTTTTTTTTAAAAAAAATTTAATTTATGTGATAATATCAATAATTTGCCGAAGTGTGTGGAAAACAGGTGTCAATTTGGGAGTTGTAGCCTGACCTTTCAATTCATGTATCAGTAGATTTTTATTAGTAGGGATGGTTTCTATGGTTATAAAAGGTCGTGTTGTTGGGACCTCTCATAAATAAGAAAGAGTCTTGTCTCTACATGTGGTTAGTTTTGGAGTGGAACCTACATTAGATCAGACAAAAATATGTTAATTAAACATATTTTTTTTTAAGATGAACAATTATTTTTAAATTTAAGAGAATAGTCTAATAAATAAATATAAATTCAAAATCTGAAGAAGAACTTATTAATATGTTTAGTTAAGTGAGTATGTATGACCACTCTTTTTAAGCACTACTCAAACTAAAAAAATAAATTATTAATGTACATAAATAAAAAGTGTTTAAGTAGGCGACAGGTGAATATTGATAAAATTAAGGATAATTTTGACACAATGATAAAATTGTTCTATTGTGACATGGAGGTCACATATTCAAAATCGAAAATAATCTCTTTTTTATATAAAAGTAAGATTATATACATCTAACCCTTTTCAGACACCGCAATGACGAGAGTCACATGTCCTGCACTAACCCATTTTTTCTACTTACCTATCCTGAATGAGTTCATAGCACAAAAGCAGTCTCCTCTCTTCTTATGATCTGCTTCCCATTTCCTCATCCTCTTGCTATCTCCAACAAGTGTTCATCCTCTAATCCTCATCGAAATCCTTACCACAATGACCTTCAAGGCCTTCTTGAGCGAGTGGCAGCTGAGAGGCTCATTCCTTATTAGCCTCCTTTTACAGGTCCTTCAATTTCTACCATTCAACACCAGAAAACGCAATCCATACATGCTGCTGACTGGTTGCCTATGGATACTCTACCTGGTCACCGACAAGGTCGCCATTTACGGCATAAGCATAGCTTCAAGGACCATAACTGACCCCACCCTCAAAATCCACCCTCAACTACTATCCTTCTGGACACCCATCCTTCTGCTTCACTTGGGTGGCCCTGACAACATCACTGCCTTCTCCTTGGAAGACAACCAGCTCTGGCTACGACAAATTCTCACCCTCGTCTCTCAAATTCTGTTTGCGGGTTATGTCCTAGTGAGGTCGTGGATGAACAATAGCATTAGGCTCCTCCTACTCATCTCTAGCATTTGCGTGTACATTGCTGGAACACTGAAGTATGGAGAGAGGGCTTGGGCATTCAAACGTGCTAGCACCGGCAGCCTCAGGGCGTCTATGATGAGTGCTGGAGATCCGGGGCCTAACTACACGGATTGTGTGGATCGTCGCTTGTCATCCAAACTCAATGCAGGCATTCCAGAAGACATAGAAGAATCAGTGAACAACTTACCCATTCATCCAGCTGAGGCTGGTAATGACCAGCCACAAGTGTCAAATTTGTACACAGCTTACAATTACTACCAGGCTTTTAAACGACTCTTTGTCGAGCTTATTCTCAGCTATGAAGATGGGAAGAGAAGTCGATTGGATTTCAAGAAGAAGAATGCCAGCGAAGCTTTTGAAATGGTTGGGATTGAGTTGAATTTCGCCTATGATGCGCTGTATACGAAGGCGCTGGTGGCTCATACTCGAGCTGGTTGCATCATTCGGGCAACTAACATGGCTCTAGTCATTGCAGCTTTGCTTCTTTTTGTTGTGATTGACAAAAAAGACTTCAGGGATACAGATGTTTTGATCACTTACCTGCTTCTTGTGGGTGCTCTTGCATTAGAAATCGGCTCGCTGGCAGTGTCCCTCATCTCAGATTGGACCATTGTTCTGTTGAGAAGCTCCTACAGAGATCACCAAAATCTGAAAGGGTTAGAAAAGCCCATCTTTTCGATCCTTAATTGGGTCCGCCAACCGAACAAACCACGCTGGTCTCACTCCATGAAGCAGCACAGCCTGTTGAGGTTTTGCTTGCATGATCAGGAATCATGGTTCGCAAAGCGCCTAGCTAATTTCAATGCTAAGGAATCATTTGACAAGTACTGGTTCACAGAGAACAAGAAAGTCCCCGGGGAACTAGAGAACCGCATTTGGGAGTCTTTGCTTGAAAAAGTCCCCCAGGAACAAGACATACACAATTTTGAGTTAGCGGATCAATACAAGAGCCTCAATACCTGCACAGCCTCTGTATTTGAGAGTTGTTCTGAACTAAAGTGGAGCACTGAAGGGGATTTCGACAAGACTTTACTTCTATGGCATGTAGCCACAGATATATGTTACAACTCTCAAGAAAATCAAGATGAAAATAAAGATACTTCACGAGAGGCAAGCAAGCTCATATCGCGGTATTTGCTGTATCTTCTGATTGTACGCCCATTCACGCTATCTTCAACAGCAGTATTGGGTCTCATACGATACAGAGATACGTGCGCAGAGCTCATTCAGTTCTTCAAAGAAGAGGAAGTGGTCGGACATGAATCCCCAAAAGATCACAAGTGTTGCAGGTCACTGTACAAAGTGCTGTGTTGTAGGTCAGGCTATTGTACTGCACCTGACGTGGAAAGAAAAAGCGATGCTTGTGACAATCTCTTGTTCATGCATACAGATGTACCACCCAAGAAGGTGAAGAAGGACCTGAGCAAGTCTGTGTTATGGGATGCAGTTGTACTAGCCAAACAACTGTTGGAACTGAAACACAAGATGTGGAAGACTATGGCCAGTGTGTGGATAGAGATGCTATGTTTCGTTGCACGTAACTGTAGAGGCGATTACCATGCTAAGCTGCTGAGCGAGGGGGGAGAGCTTCTCACTTGTGTGTGGTTTCTGGAGGCACATCTTGGTCTGGGGGATTACTTCAAAATGGCCATTGCGAACACTGATTGATCTCACTCGCTCTTGTACAAACAAAACAATCACTACTGAGAATATAAAACAAGCAAAAACTGCATTTTTATGAACTCCCTGTATCTTTTGTTTAGCATACTCTTGATCTGGCAATATAAAATTTGGCTCAGCACACCAATGTGTCATGACAACTAGGAAAACTTGCAACTCAGCCTCCCTTTAACCTGGCACTGCACCTGTATAGTTCATCAACAATTTTCAGGAATTGGGTTTACAGTAGCGCCAATGTCATTGACATTTGGGGTTAACGATGAACTTAGTTTTGAAGTAGCTAAAAGCCACCTTCATGGTAGAAGATAACAAAAGGGAGATGAAGTTGAGTGGCTGTATCATTATTCAAAGAGGTTACTCACCTTGGTAGCAAACCTAGTCCAACAGTCCACGAGTTTAAACAACCAGAACACAAAACCAGCTCAACAGAACATATAATACAGTTGAAACAAGGAAAAGGACCGCATAACTTCAGAAAATACCAAAAATAAATAAATAAATACCATGTTGGCCAACTAAAAAATCAACTTCCCAGGTTGCTAAGAATATAAAAAGGCATATGGCTGGAGCTGCCCATCATCCTGGTAAGCATATTCATCAACACTGAAACTTGGGATCCTGAATAAAGGATCCAGAGTTTAAAGTTAGTACACTGAGGGAATGGCTTGCTTTGCCCATGCAACAGTAGACATAGAAAGATCAGCCCTCGTTTCCTTGCATAGACATTTCGGAGAGCGCACCAAAAAGAAAAGATGGTATTTCTCATTTAATTGCAAAGTGAAAATAATAGTTATTTAATCTAATACAAATATGAGAAAACAGTAATGAAATAGAAAAAGCTTCAGCAATTGTTTCCTTGCATAGACAATTAAATTGTTAGGATATACTGAGCTTCCTCATGTTACTAAGAATTGAGAGCCAAAACCAAAACCATTTGGCCCCTAGTGCCAGTCAAGAGCTCAAGTCAAAAGAATGAAATTAAAGAAAAAGGGAAAAAACAAAATTCATCTTCGAAAATGCAATGACATAAATGGAAACTGCAAGTTTCGGAATGCTGCTCAGCGACAACACAACTTAAATGCAAACTTCACATTGCTCATCTTCAAGGTATGAGAATTAAGCCCGGTAGTATCTTCTCTCAAGGGTTCAATCCTAAAAACCGATCACTTCACTGCAAGTACATGATTCCACTATTGACCCAAAACAATTTCTTGTGTGTAAATTCATATGAGCTACTATACCTCCTCCTCCTGGACTTGACCATCTGCAGCAACAGATAGATCCTAAAAATTTACTTTGATGAATGATTATGAAAACTGAAATACAGATTTACCAAATAAAGCCAGAAAGTCTCACCAGCGAGTTGAACAGCAAAGTTGGCTTGAGCATCAGCCTCAGAGTTTAAGTGCTTTCAGAAAACACAACAAATGTTAGAATGTATCAAAAATCCATGGGAGGTTAAGCATCAGCTGGAAAGACGACAGAACAGATACTTTGCCATCAGTGCTAACAACCCAAAGAAAAGTTCATGGTGGACGGTATCAGAAAAGCAGTTCTCAATGTATTTTAGATAAACCCGGATGAAATACAATAAGATAAAAAAATGTTCACACAAGAAGGAAATTACAGAAAATACCCTCAGAACATGACTGATCTCGAAAGAAAGGAACTTTTTCTTCAGTTTTTTTGCCTCTTCACTCAAGGTCGACATATTTTCATTCTTTGCCTTCCATAAACCTTGAATCTGTTACATATAGCTTCCTTAGTATAAAAAACCGAAAAAAAAAAAACAGAGACAAACTAACCAAGTAACAACATGCCACCATGTATTAAGAAGCAGCAGTTAGTAGTGCAATGAAAGCAACATGAATTACTTGCCCTTATACATAGGGTATCTAGGTTTAGAAGTCAAGTATAGCAGTGAGGTTAAAGGTATGTTCCCGCTTCTAGTCTACACAAGAAAATGAAGTTGGTTCTACTAGGCTACCAGCTTTTTCTTCAATATCTAAGCTGGTCAGAAACAGTGACCAAAGCATGGCAACACAAATATCATCGGGAAGATGCAAACTTGGGCCTAGATGCCTAGAAGAGGTATTCATTGGGATCTTTTGTAATAGGTACAAAAACTTAAATCAGAAATATTAAGCTGGGTTGGTTTTGGGTCAGGATATACTGCATTCGCCCACATTTGGAACTGCCATTGGTAGCTGAAACAGGGTCAGTGGAAGGGTCAAGGAAAGAAGTTCCTTGCCCGAAGACGAGAAATAAGAAACTGATAGATCCTAGCATTGTCTGTACCGTAGTGATAAATATTGATCATCAGAGCACATTGACCATCAGACAAGTATTGGGCCGGAGGCGGAGATTAGCATTATTGGAAAACAAGTGTTTCATCAAAGAGAAGTAAATGATATATTGTGGGCTTGGTTCAAGAATCAGCCTCAAGTATAAGAGAGTATGATTATCATTCTCAGTGCATCAACCAATTATCTTTTTGCCTTCCTCTTGTTCTTCCATATGTAGCAAACAACACTTGTTTACTATTGCATCATTTCTCTTCATCAAATAGGACCAAACCATTTTAGAAGTTATTTCCCCCTCCTCTTTTCATCTCACCTTAAGTTAAATTAACCTGTCTTCTTTATAACAAATGCTTTATTTCTTCCAAAGAAAAATGCAAAAAAGCCCTTTGATCTTTTCTGAGATCTGCAAATAACTCCTGAACTAACGAATAGGCAAATAACCCCCTATACTTTTGTACCCTTTAAAATACCCCTACCATCTTCGTTCCATTAAAACGCGGGGCGGGGGGAGTGTTGAAACTCATGAAATTTAGTTATATTACAATTAATAATATCCTTTTCTGTGACTTAACCAAAAAAAAAAAAAATCATTTTGTGTGGACCAAATTGAGAGATAGGACCGTAATTCTAGGCTCTGATAGTCAAAGTACGTAAAGGTCAAACTAGACCTACAGGAGAAGGAGGGAGGGAGGGGGGTGAATAAATAATTGAAATTTAAATAATCACATTGGTCTCGTATTCTTATCTTAGAATCACCTACTTAACTATGACCTAGACGTTCTGCTCAGACTGCTGCTGACAGTTAACGAACCCTCTCCTCACCCAATCCACTCTTCAATTGGTGCTTTGAAGTTCAGTCCTTGGTGGTTGTGTAACTTGTGTGGATTTTGCTACAATGTTAAAGTCCTTGATGAATTTCCATATTCAACAGTTAAAGTCACTCACCATCTATATGAACTGAAGATGCAAGAATTCGTTCGTTTCTTCTTTCTCTCTCTGTAGAATTCTTCCAAAAAATTCCCCCCTTCTTATCCACCTGCAATGGTCTATTTATAGACCATTACAATTATTATTGTTAACTGATTATATTGGGCCTATATTCAAAAGTTTTCTTCCTTCTGGGCCTGATCTTCCAATGGGCTTGATCTTCCTCGGTGGATCCTCCAGGTTCGGCCCATTCCGGGGTGCTTTGGCATGGGCCATACTTCAATTGTCCGACCCGATCCCGTTCCAGCGAACTATATCCGGCCCATGCCACTTGCTGCATCCTCAACTGCCCCCATAATTACCCCTTATTGATTAGGGGGTAATTATTAGAGGCTGCTAATGATAACCTAACGGCTCGAGAAGATCGCGTGGGAGAATGGACGGTTAAATTTAGGGGTCGGCGTTTCGAGATTCAAAAAACTCATCGCTTTCCTGACTCCTCGGCTCTTGGGCTCACCTTGTCTTTATAAGCTTTATAGATGTTCCATCGATCCTCTTTACCGTCTCCATCTCACTTTTTGTTGTTCGAATCCTCTCCGGCGATCTCTTGCAAAAGATCCTCCTTCCAGTGGCCTTGCAGTACTTTTTGCCGTTCTCACTCTCTGAGATTAGTTTCATTTGCATTTTTCTTTTGAAAGACTTCTTTCTCCTCCTCGAAATCTTCATTCATTGTCACCATGACAGTAGATTTAGACGTTCTTCGCATGAAACTTCACCTCCCTGACGATGTAGAAATTAGAAATTGCCCCCGAGAGGTGAATATTAGAACCGGTGCTGGCCTTCTTCCCGGCAAGGTCCTGTTTTCACTCCTCCATCTTAATCTCCTTAGGTTTCCTTTGCATCCCTTCTTTTGCTATGTTTTCAACAAGCTAAATCTTTCCCCTTTGCAAGTAAACCCAAAATTCCTTAGGATTTTGTCTGTTATGCTACTCCTGATTCGTGACAGAGGTCTGGATCTGGACCTCGTAGATCTTCTCCTTTGTTACAAGGTTAGCAAGATCAGAACTGATGAACCGTTTTACCACTTTTTCCCCATTGAGAAGAGGTCCATCTGCACGGATAAAATCAAATCCGAGAAGGGTTGGAGGAAAAATATAATTGGGGTTAGGGGAGCCTGGTTCTCTCCAGCTGCGGAGGATTTCCCTATCTCGAGCACTTTTGGAGAGTGCTCTGTCTCTTTTTACAAGAAATATAAAAACCATAAGAGTGACTGTCCTTGCGAGATTTGCATTCCTCGTTTTTGTACTTTCTTGTGCCATTCCTTAGGCATTCCATGTGATGATTTGAGCTACGGTGTGTGCAGGGATAGGGATAACTACCTGAAGCAGTACGTTCTGACCAACGTTCCCTCCTACTCGGACCTCCTCACCTCAGACAATCTCCTCGAAATCTCAGTCCTCGACAAGACAATGAGCCAACTCCAGATCCCTTCCTTCGGCAGGAAGAAAACTGCCCCTAGGCCTGTTATCACCCCTGCATCAAATTCTTCACCAGCTTCAGCATCTTTCTCTGCTACCCTTTCTGATACCACTCCTTCCACCGATCTATCCGTGACGGCTGCTGACCCGGTCGCTAACACAGCGACTGCCAGTCCGAACGTTACCCCTTCTGTCAGCAATCCTCCTGGTTCTACTACTGCTTCCGCACGGGAAAAGGCAAGAGGAAAAAGGCATCAACCTGATAGTGCCCTCAGTGTCGATGATGTTCCTTTGTCTCAGAGGGTTAGGCCCTCTGGGCCGAATGTGATATCCCTAGCAAGACTTCCTCAGACTAGGCCCCCTACCCCTTCTGGGCATGCCTCCACTTCAGGAATGACGCCATGGAACCCTCGCTTCATTCGAACAGACGGATCGTCTGTTAAACCGACCGAGACCATGTTCAAGGATGGTCAGACCGCAATGGCTTACTACAGGAGCATGTGGACTCCCAAGGACATTGAGGTAGCCAAAGGTCTGTCTCAGAGGGAAGTGTTCAGCCGATTTCCCTTATCCGCCATGGAGGTAACTTCTGCCCCTTAGTCAATAAGTCTTTACACAATCTTTACACTTATTTTCTTCTAACCATCTGCTCGGCTTAACCAGTTGTCCTGTATATCTCTACAGACCCTGTACGGGATGATGGCTATGCAAAAACAAGTTGAGCTTGTAAATGCTAAGGTCCGTGCGCTTTCTGACAGCCTTAATGCAGCGAACAAGGAGAACGATGATTTGGCTGCTCAGAAGACCGGGTTGATAGTTCAGCTTAGTAAGATTGAAAAGGAGAGGGATTCGCTAAGGAAGGAGACTGACTCTCTTCAGGATGAGAGGAATGCATTGCAGCTCGAAAAGAGTGTCTGGCATACCGAGCGGGAATCCCTTAAGGCTGAAAAGGAAGAACTGCTACGCCTTTTGAGTGATGAGCAATCCGCTCGGATGGCCTTTGAGAAAAGGGCTTTGGACGAGCGCAACGCTTTACTCGATACCATCAGTAGGGTAAACGGTGGCATGCTAGCTCTACATGCTCGGTTTTCTAGAGTTGGAGCCCTCAGATATGCTCAGGGGTTCCGAGAGGGTTATGCCGATCGTGTTTCGGATGAGGGTCAGACCGGTTCTACCCCTGATAATGTTGACAAGGAACTGGATATTGACCCTCTTGGTGTTTATACCGATCTAGACTCCACCGCTGCTGAGGGCATATTTGATGAATGCCAAGAGATTGCCTCTTCTCGGATCACTCCTACTCCTTCTGCTACTCTGACTTTGGACATTCTTCCTCTGTCCACCTTGACTCCATCTGTTATTACTGCTGAAGATAACCCTCGGCAGAATGATTCTTCCAACGCTATTGAGGGTAGGACTCAACAGAACGATTCTGTCATTCACCTCGACTCTCCACCTCGTGAGGATGGTGATACCAACAATAATGAGGAGACAGCCCAGCACCATCAAGAGGCTGACGAGGCAAACGCCTCTTAGTTAGAACTCTTTTTTTTTTTTTTTTTTTTTTTTTTTTTTTTTTTTTAATGTACTGACTTTTGTATATTCGCCATCTTTACACCTCATCTTTTTTGTAACTCTTTGAACTTTATTAATGAGATGGCCGACTTCTGATCAAGCTCTTTATGTAAACTCTTTTTTTTTTATTTTTTTTTATATTTTTTTTAGCAAGTGTTTGGCGTTCGGCTCATAGTGCCAGCTGCCACTTACTTTGCTCAGGCGTCTGACACTCGGTTAGAATGCCACTTGCCACTTGGCCCTCTCTTCTTTCTTAGCAAGTGTTTAACGTTCGGCTCATAGTGCCAGCTGCCACTTACTTTGCTCAGGCGCCTGGCGCTCGGCTAGAATGCCACTTGCCACTTGACCCTCTTTTTTTTTCTTAACAAGTGTTTGGCGTTCGGCTCATAGTGCCAGCTGCCACTTACTTTGCTCAGGCGCCTGGCGCTCGGCTAGAATACCACTTGGCCCACTTATTTTTT